GTAAGAATTTTGTTGGATAGACTCTTTGAACGCCATCATCTCCCGATTTTAAGTACTTTGCATTCTTCCCACCAAAATCATACCTTTTTGATATCTTCATGTTGCCATTCGATCTGATTTTCACTCTAACAGAATTTCAAATCCACTTTTAAGAATTTTTATAAACTTGTTGGAGACATTTGATGCTTACGCCCCACCACAGCATTTAGTCCTCAATCTAGAGATTTATGGATGGACCTATGCCCCATTATTTACCCATCATATTTCCTTTTTTACTGAGAAAGGTATTTTCAGTTTACACGTGTCTTCTGCGCGTTATTCTACGACTGATACCTCTTAATTCTTTCCATTCAATAACACGGCACGGAGGCACTGCTAACTTTTCAGATATTTTAATAATTTGGTCCCTGATGATTTGACTCACTTTACTCTCAACTAGTAATTGCGAAGTCACTCCGTCCAACCCGATGTGGCTTCCATCAAATCTCCTGTCATACATTCATGCATAAATGACCAGTTATAACGTCCCTGACCTGACATTTGGCGTTCAAGGAGACTGAAATACAGAAACCGAGATTAAAATTGTCATCCAGACATTCGAACGTTTTTACTTTATTTTCCTCTCTCTTGAAATTTAACATGGTTACATAGTTATCATGATTGGTGAATCGTCTCATCGAAAAATTCCGAAGGTTCGGTTAAGAGCTCAATGTACATTTCCTCTTAAGGTAAAAGTCAACCAAATTAAGTGAAATTAGTAAATATTTGACTGGTGTTTTATGATTAACTTACTTGCACAGTCAGTCATCTGCAAGCTCTTCACGTTTGACTTGGTTAGTCGAAACTCATCTCGGAGTCAATTAGGAGAAAGACGATGAGTGCTCTTCAGAGAGCTTTCCAAGAGCGCTGATGGAATTCGCTCGTTATCCGGCTAAATCAAGCACACAGACAATGAGATGCTTTCTTTTATTTACCTAGATAGTAGTTCGCTGGTACTTGTTTACGACTTCATTTTGGATAAAAAATAATCTCGATGTAAAAACACTAGGCCTTGCCTAAAGGAAAAACGATTCACGTCATTTTCCAAATTTTCGCTAGATACGGTCAGATTTTATTCAGACAGCACGCTTTGGATCCGTTTTCAGTAACTTAGCTCCTTTTGAGAAAAAAATGTTTGACAGACCATCACATGAACCAGGTGGGTGCAAAAACCAACCTGCTACGTAGAACTGAGCGCGCAAATAGAACAAGAGTTGCAATAACGGACGAGTCCGATCGGTCGACCAACTGTGTTGCAATGGACATTTCCAAAATTTGGTTCGAAGGAAGAGACTATTGGTTTCTATTTTAAAATTGAACAGTGCGTTCTGATTGCGAGTTTGGTCTTACAGCCCCTGTTCTCTATCTTGGGAGGGTGCGTTCATCTCAAGCGACTACTCCATGAATATCTTCAGTTAGCGCCATATTTGTGGAATGCAGTTTATCCGTGCAAAACAGCAAGTGCACTTAATAATAAACTTTAGGTCCCTTTAATTGCCAGTCCTAAAGTTTCATAGCCATATTTTCCGGCCCATAAGGCATCATTAAAATGACTAAGAACAAAGGCAAAGTTTTAATTAACTCATAAAACCTGTTTTGTTTGTATGTATTCCATGGGATGGTACATTGCAAAGTTTTTAGGAACCCTCCAGTCAAACCCTTTCCTCTTTACCACCACTTTAAATTATCCCTCACAAAGAACCACACAAAATCCTGTAAATGAAAAAACAAATTAATTTTTCGACTGAGTGATCTAAAAATCATGGTATGCGCTTGACTGAAAAGTGGGGTTCATATCTTCAGGCCACCCAAAACGTTTTGAGAAAATGTGACTTTGACCAACATAGTTAGTTTGGCTCATGTTGATGTTTCGAAACTATTATGCAACCATTCAACGTCCTGGTTCATAGAAGCACCTACTTGAAACTCTATGTGGGCATTCAACAGACTGTGAGTCATAAAGCGAATCCAGTCTTCCACTCGATATAATATAAACACAAGGATTTAACTGTCCATCACAAGTGCTGCATAGAAGGGACGTAAATCGAAAGAACTAAAGACAGATATATACTCACCTTAATCGCATCTCTGTGCCTTAAAATGGATATGCACAGGTTGGGACGATAAAATATTCGAACGTCAGTCAAATGTGCTTCCCTTCTATAACACAGGCGGCGCTTTAATAAAAGAGGCCTGTAAAATACACATTTTTCTGAGTTGGAAGTAGATGCACTTGATCCCTGCACTGATTTTGCCACTATACGAAGCAGAAGCTTAACATAAAAAGAGTCACCATCAACTACGACCTTTGATAAATTACCCAATAAAACGTACTAAGAACGACAGTAAGCCTTGCTAACGACATCTTAAAATACACCTGAAAGCAAATATTTTCGAAAAATTTGCATTTAACCCCTTAGTGTACCGCTTTTTGATAGCTGGGTTGATAGTACGCAAAAACCGTGTTTTCCGGCTTATATTTTGAAGACAGAATTAATCATACGTCGCCCACGCCGGAGGATCGAAACAATAATAACCGAACGTAACGAAATTTTGCCAAGTTTAAACAAACCCACATAAATAGACCTTCTTAATCTCCATCCATATTCGGTCACAAAAGCTATCAACAAGGGTTCAAGTCAAACTGCGAGCAATGCTTGATCAATGAGTGCTAATTTACTAATAACGGGATAGTGAATATCTCATGCTAAAAAGATGGACTTGCCTGCTGACTAGAGGAATTGATGTAAAAATAAACTTTGCAAGTTTCATTTGCAACATGCAGAACACAGCCGGAAAGTATTAATTAAAAAGACAATTTGGCAAGCGTATGCCAGCTTTCGATGAATTCCCGCCAGGGCTATACATTTATATTGATGTCGAAATGATAAAAAGAAAAATGCGGGCAGCAGAAGTTATTCTGTAGCTGTACATAAATGAATAGGCCTGATGGGGATTTGTCGAAAGCTTACGTATGCTCGCCAAATTGTCCTTTGAATTCTTCAATGGAAATTTTCGCAACTCTAAAACAGTCCAAAGTATTAATTATTTTAACTTTTAGGTACTTCTTACTAACTTGGCACACAATCAATGATCGATCTCATGAAATGTTGACTAAAATTCCGAAATGTTTTTTTTAGATTAGAAGGGATTAATTCGACTGAGACTGCAGTATGTATTGTTGTGCAACAAAATTCCAAAAGATGTCAGGAACGGCATGATTCCAGCTTTTGATTGCATTTCTTTTCGATTGCCTGTAAGCATCGCGCTCGGTAAAAAGACCGCTTGTGTAACAAGTGTTTTGTCTGTTGCTTTTCGTTGGCTTATAGATTAAGATGTAGTTTTGCCGAAATCACGCACAAGAGTGTTTTTCTCGCAGGCATCCGGTAAAAAGGCACGTTTTTCTGCATACTATTTAAAACCGAAATCTACCCTTTCTTCTAGTAGGAATTTAAGAGACGCAATTTTCTACAAAAGGAGTTCAAGAAGAACGTGTCTGCGAATACTTTCTCTAATATATCTTTGAATTTATGAGGGCATCGAAAATCAACAGAAGCATGCATGCTACGTAGGGCTCCACCGAGTGCGGTTTTTACAGGCGCCCGAAAGGAAGTGCAACCGAATTCCGACATGTTGGGGAGTCTTAAATATGAATAGAAGCAAATATGCGAGTCCAAGTTTCTTGTTGCATGGGATTATGTCACACGACAATCAATGTTACAGTATTACTTACATAATCCTTCCATCCAAAAAGACTTGTGAGAATTTCGGTCCGCGTTTCACGAGGTCAGTTACTGACTGTATGGGCAAGAGCTTATCAGCAGCAGCAGCAGCAGCAGCAGCAGCAGCAGCAGCAGCAGCAGCAGCAGCAGCAGCAGCAGCAGCAGCAGCAGCAGCAGCAGCAGCAGCAGCAGCAGCAGCAGCAGCAGCAGCAGCAGCAGCAGCAGCAGCAGCAGCAGCAGCAGCAGCAGCAGCAGCAACAGCAGCAGCAGCAGCAGCAGCAGCAACAGCAGCAGCAGCAGCAGCAGAAACTTTCTGTTGCAAAACCATTAGTTAGTTATTAATGGGAAATTCTATCCATGTTCGGGAGAGAGTATGTAGCGGGACTTTAGGACAGTAGCCTAAGTTCTGTTTCTCAGAAGCCGGTAAAGTTATTTGCGACAATATTATTTTCTTTTAATGAGAGGTCTGTGCGTCAATAGTTATTCATTTACTCTGAGTACTGCTCAGTCACTGTTGGTCCCCATTTCTAATCCTTTAGCGCAGTAGGTGCGAAGTCGAATAGCTTCTAGCAGAATGGGCGAATTCACTTTGAAGTGATAGAAGCAGAAAGTTTGGGTCCAGTCCTCTCGCGTTCGGATCGGAAGCGGACTAACGAATGACCACCTGTTATGTGTATATGTGTGTGGCCGTGGATAATGAGTTTGTCCGCCCGCAGTTTATTTCCGAAATACTTCAGGGTTTCAATGTCAGAAAACACCCTGAAAGCATTAAGCAAAGCGGTTTTGGAAATGAATCTCTAATGGAGTAGAAGACTCACTGGAAACCATAAAGGAAAATAAAACATATGCATTTCTTGTTCTTACTATATAATCATCTATGGTAATCACTGTGTACTGGAGAACCGTTTTTGCTGAAAGTTTTGAATGTTATTTTCAAAATAAAGCATTCCTCTCTCTCTTTAATAAGATTCATTACTGCAAGATGATGTTCCAAAACGCTGAAAACAGTCTAAGAAATGACAAATGTTTCTAATATGCGAAAATACCTACAATGCTACAAGTGGAATTAATACATCATGCACAGAGCAAATGTTCGAGAAGTGATCTATCTCTCCTTCTCTCGGCTTGACATGACAACACCGACATCACTCTTAATGCTTACTAGGATGCCCAAAATCCTGAGAGCTGATAAGTTCCCCTGGCATCTCAGGATACTCTCCAGTGATGACAGGGCTAAAAGCATGCAGGGTATGCAAACAACCCAACGGCAGCAGATGCGAAATAAAGATAAGCCCCTGTAGTGTTCATAAATAATGCATAAGAATCGGGTTCATCTGAATAGTCAGCACGTAACCACGTCTAATTGCTGCAGTGCCTATGAACTAGTGTGCATTAAATTTGTTGGACTAAATCAAGAGTTTCATCTGCTTCTGCCAAAGGTAAGATCAGGAGGAAACTACTACTATATCAAACCTGAAGCCAGTTCTACTCAACCGCGCTGACCAGACATCTAAATGTAATGCACAGGAAACACCAAAGTGCCAAATATCATATTCGATGGTGTGATCCACCTATCGCTAAGGGAGGTAGTGCGTGCCGACATATATACATACGCGCAACACCATTTGTAGGGGTCGTTTCGACATCACTATCATTGATCACTGCAGGCGGCGGTGCCGCCCTAGAAAGTACAGCGGATGTCAAAACTCATGAAATATTAAACAGCACTTATAAATATGCCTTCGAGCAGAAAAGGACTCTTGATAAAGACTGTCGTACTGATCAACATGAACTTAAGCCCAAACCAACATCCTTCTGGCCATCCCTCCAGCCACCTTTGCCAGTTAAATCGCCACAAAAGTTATAACAAAATTGGCAGGTAATGTCTGATTTATTTTCGACAGAAGCATAAATTTGAGCTTATTCCACGAAAAAATTGCAGAAAAGGTTATTATGTTCATTTTATTTTCGAGGAAGGGCGTTTTCTATAACGTTCATGCCGGAAAGAACGAACAACTTCAGCCTTAACGTTTGGTTGATTTCCACGCCTTTTGAGCAAAACCTGTTTTCCCATCGTGCCTAAGGTTTCCAGAGCACATGCTATGTACTTTTCTAAAGCATTATTATAACCTTCTCATAGCATAAGGAAACGCCCAACTGATAACTAAAATAAATCCATTGGGTGGGGATCGAGCATGCACAGAGAGCCCAATGACTAAAACTGCATACATTGGAGAACAGGAATGGCCCAATCAAGGTGTGGAAATTACCCATGGTTAAAACCACTTTAAATCAACAACCCGTTCCTCCATGCGCAAACTCTGACGAAGACACACTTGTTCCAAAATGAACATGAGTTAATTTTTATGTCTCCCTTTCAGAAAATATGACTGAAATTATGCAGAAAGAGAAAGCATAAGAAAAATGTAGTCTGCATAATTAGGCAGAACCGCACGTGCTTTAATGGCACAAATGGTTGGGAAGTAAGTCAGTCAAAAGCGAACATGCTCCCCTATATTAATTAACTTGAAAATGTGCTCAAAAGTCGACAGTATAACAAACCCACTCAGACAATCTGCTGTGTTTGCAATGATATTTAAATATTTCCATGGTTTTTGAGTTTAGGCGTCTTAGGTAAGTCTCGAAGGAATGTTTTGTATACTCTCTTCGTTTGCAGCCATCCTCGTTAGACCTAGTGGGTGCCGCGTCGTGCGGTTTTTATCATTACTTACTCTTTCACTGGATCCGGAGCAATTGAAAGGGGTGGCCTTGAAACGAGCGCAGTTTCCATCACGAAAATCAATACATCGACTATGCGAACTTGCTTCTCCGACATTACAAATTCTTCAGACGCTCAAGAAAGCAGCAATAAAGTGGTCTCCTAAAATGAGTTTTTATATAGCACATATCTGAGTATTCACCTCTGAGGGTACCCACTTTACACTGCCACTCAAAGTCCTTGCTTGCGATGACAGGTCCACAAAATTATAGAAGTTTCAGGTTGACCGGACATTGTCAATGATAAGGACGACAACTAACAAGGGAGGATCCCTCCACGAAACGTTCCCTTCCTTCTTAAATTTCACTGACGGGCAAAAATGCCTTGTTTTGTTGCTTTTCAGCCTCGGGTAGTCTGCAAACGGAAAAAAACGTTTCTTAGAATGGCAGTCATCTTTGCTTGAGGGAACTGCCCAAAGGTCCTCAATTTTATGTCGTGCTGAATTTATCCCCCCTGTGGAAAGTCTAGCAGAAGGTTGTTAGTGGGCGTGGGACTAAAAGAAAACAAACCGGCACTTGGACCAACGTAACAACTCTGACGCACAAATGTAACAAACAGTACTTGGCGGGGGAAATGTAACATACCAGAATGTCTTGTGCACAAATGCGGCCGTCCGAGACTACGGGCTGTCTAGATACAAAGAGAATCGTTAACTACTGGCGGTAATATATCCGGTTTAGATAAAGGGAGGCGCTGAATAACTCAAATGTCCGCTGGGCAAGATGTCAGCCAAAAAAGCATTTGATTCCGTTTGAAACTGTTGGAAGGCCCTAAGTACGCGCAAGGGGTTTCTGCCTTAACCAAGGTTCTTGCCCGGAATGCCTCAGATAAATCTGTAAATCAACAAAAATGCATGGATAATCATCGTCTCCTGCTACCAGTTGGGCTTTTCTTCATGTCTGTTGGTTTAGTGCCGCTTAAAGCTTATTGATAACGAAATGTATTTAAGGCAGTTTTTGTCGGAGACCTTTTGGAGGTTCTCTTTCACTTATTTGGTTCCGAACAAGAAATGCCTGCTATCTTAAAGATATTGAAATATCGTTTATGTTACTTTTATAAAGATATTGTAGTCGGACCAGCTGTCTTGCTACGAAGGACTAATAAACCCTACTTACATTATAACTTGTAGAACCTAATCAGAACATTAGATGGTTAGTGTTCGGGTGCAAGGGCGACCCGCTTAGTGTTCTTGAGGAAAGTAGCACGACCAGAGGTATAACTAAGACAATGAATTGGCCGAACAACGGAAGGCCGAAAAATGGCCTATTAGATGTACTTTGTATTCCATATTTAAACTCACAATTATGAGAAACTATTATTTTAATTTGCAACAATTCTTGTTAAGACAACTCTGGCTTGGTAAATGGGTTGAATTTGCAGATATATAATGCTGCAGAGGGTCAATAGGTTCCTCAGAATTCTGCACGTTTACTAGGCGAACGACTGATATACCTTTTTCCGGTCATCATATTTATGAGCTTTATTTTGAATAGATTTCAGCGCCTTGACCACTCCCTTTTTAACAGTTCGCAGTTGTTGCATATCCAAAGAAGTGAACCACTATCTATTTTTAAACGTTTTTTTTTGGAGGACCAGCAACCTATCCCGAAACACTAACGTTAGCCACACCGACCTGAATGCAACCTCCGTCGAGCAACCTTTTTCCCCCTAATTATTGTGCGCAACTTTCGATTCAGGTAGATTTCCTGACACCGATTCATATCGTAACTTTCTCAGCATCCCCTTACGTGCTATTTTCCGTTTCTACTGCATTCACTACCCTATTCATTCTCGATCCAATAGAATTTACTTCACCTGCAGTAGGCTCCTTATTTGTCGCTTAATATGAGCTGTGCCTTATTAACGGTGTGTGGAACATCAATTATCTTACAAAACGGAACTAACTTAATGGAATTACCCTTTGATTGGCCAAATTGCATTCGGTTTGAATTCTGACGACATGAAAAAACCTTCTTATATATGTTGGCTCATGCGGATGTCTATTTTGATACAATAAGCAGGAATTTACTGTGAGGATAATGTCACTTCAGACAAATTCCCATCAGCATTAAAGGACGTCCTTTGAGCATCTGTCCTAAAAACTCATGAACTCAGAAACTTCGTGATTTAATTGTCACGGAGGTTGAGGGAATTAGTATACTTTGATCGTGTATTTAACCGACAGGCATTCTATTTTGGTTTATCCGGCTTGTCTGCTTTAATTCCAGGTAATTCAGTTTCCTTGGACACCATGCTCTCCGTTAAAGTGCGTCTTCGTCAAAGATCGCACTGCATGACGCCTGGGAACCCATTTCTCCTTCTTTACTTTGGCTTACAGCTATTGTGATCTCCCAGTCCCTGTTTGTTCTGTAATGTCGATCAGCACCTGCCCGCTCTTTCGGAAATCTGACAGCTTGAAAACTTTCCAAGACGTCATCGGCATGCGTCAGAATATATCTGTGTTTCACTATACGGTGTTCTTTCATGGCCGGCAGACGGTTTACACTTCTACAATTGATGTTTTCCAGTCTGACAAGTGGAACGCTACC